CACAGACAGCCCCTTCTCCCTTGCACCTTCCAGGTCAACTTCCTAGCAGCTATCATCCAGGCTTGAGCTAAACAGCAAGATTATAGCCATCAAAGCACGGGCAATAAAGAGCCAGTTAGGACCACCTGGGAGCAAGCCGAGGCGGCTGAGAAAAGCAAAATGTGGATCCTAACCTCATGCATTCACCTAAATGACAGCCTGAATGGTCAGAAACCAGGATGACACAGGTCACCAAGTCAGGGCCAAGCAGCAGGAGGAATAAAGATGGAGGAAAGGGCAGTTCAGTAAGTTCACTACTTAAAAAACAAGATGGGGGAGGGGAGCTGAAACAAGTAATTTCTACTTCCAGCAGAGAAAAAAAAAAAAAAAAGCAAGCTCCTTTTCTGGTAGAATCTCATGGTGTCTAGGACCTTCATCCGCTGGGTCATGATGCCGTAGGGCTTTCGAAAGTTGAGAAATGACGGACAGGAAAATTAACCTGGCTTTTGGAATGTGCCTGGGAAGATAACTCTCTGGCCAGTTACCACAGAACCGCCAGGAAAGGAAGTTGCACAAGACTGAAACGTAACAATTAATTAACAATGCAAAAAGAGCCCTATCTGCAAAGGAAGGACAGGAAGCTCTCACAAGCCTATAAATTATTCCTGCTTGTTGAGTGCTAAAAGCCCAAGTTCTAGACGTATATAAATAATATATCCCTGTAAATAATTGAAAACACAAGGAAAATTACATAAGCAGAAGCCAGATCTAAATTTAGCAAGGCCGGTGGCTTTTAGAACCCCTACACACACATTATGCTTCTCCCTAAGCCCCAGCACCTTGGCTAGAGGTGGGGAGGTGGGGATGGGGGTAAGATCATAACGAGAAATATTTCCTCCTGTCATAGAGAATTGACGATAGTGTTTCCTTTCTCTGGCTTTTTAGTTTCCATATCATTTTTTTAAGGTATGAATAAATGAGCTGTGACATCCCTTCCAGGCTTGCCTTTCTGTTTTCGTGCAAATACTAACACCTTGTAGCATCCCAAACCTCCCTCCGTTATTTATGGTAGGATCGATCCTTCAGCAGCACTTCCTGCAGCAGCTTGGGAATCTTGGTTTGCTGGTGTGTGAGCTAAGAAGTGGCGATCTGCCGCCAACTGAGAACTCTGTAGCTACAACCTTCCTTCATGAATTAGCTAATTGTTGTTCTCTCCTTGGGAAATGAGCTTGGTGTCTGTTTCCTTCAGAGGACGACTTCACATGGTGCCAAGAGGACCGGTATAAATTAAATAAATGGGCTTCATTTTCTTAGTTGTACAAAGTCCACGGGGGAACAGGACTCCAGGCTGGTCTTTCCTCTAGCTGCTGGCTACAGTCTATCTTAGGGACAACTTATCAGGTTGCCTCCTGATTAATGAGAAGAGGAAAAGTTAGCTGCAGTAGGAGTTTGGCACAGCTTCCTTTATTGGTGATTGTTTAGATACAGAGATAATGACTTAATCACAACAGCTGTTATTTAGTATCTAGGAAGCAGGTGATAAGCACACATTATCTCTGGCCTTCTAACCATCCCTGAAGGAGATAGTATCAAGAAACTGAGTCTCAAAGGTTAAGTAACTTGTTCGTGACCACAGAAGAGACGGAAATAAGAACCCCAAACCCAATGTTCAAGCCATCACAGTGATTCTGACTTTCCTCCCACGGCAGTCATACAGCTGCTCCCCAAGCCGCAATACTTTAAGTTTATGTGAAGATGTTCTTTCAGAATCTTGGACCCTTCTCTCTTTTTGTCCTGAGTTTATACTTGTCTTCGTTTAGAACTACAGCTTGAATGTTTATATTCCCTCCAAAATTCAGGCTGGAACTTAATCTCCAGTGGAACACACTAAAAGGCAAGGCCTTGAGGAGTCGAATAGGTCCAGAAGGATCCTCCATCCTGAATGGGATGAAGGTCCTCAGAATGAGGATCAAGAGAACATGGACCTTCTGCTCTGGCATCTTGCAACGATGTTCAAGGAAACACTTTGGAAGCAGAAACCAGAGACCAAATATATCTTGATTTTAAAATGTACAGCCTCTTAGTTAGGTTTCTATTCCTGAGAAGAGACACCATGCCCATGGCAACTCTTATAAGAAAACATTTAACTGGGGTGGGGGAGAAGGGGGGCAGGGAGGGACAGGCTCACTTACAGTCTCAGAGGTTCCGTCCATTATCATCATGACAGGGAGCATGACGGCATATAGGCAGATGTAGTGCTGGAGAAGCAGCTGAGAGCTCCACATATGGCAGGCAACAGGAAGTGGTCTTTCTCACTGGGAGGTATCTTGAGCATATATGAGACCTCAAAGCCTGCCCCCACAGTGACACACTTCCTCCAACAAGGCCATACTTACTCCACCAAAACCATGTCTCCCAATAACGCCACTCATATGAACTTATGAGGGCCCAATTATGTTGAAACTACCACGACTTCCAATTGTGAGACATTACTTTCAGCTATCTATAAATTTCTCGGCCTTGGATATTTGTATATGAGAACAAATGGACTAAGGCACCTAGTATTAGCACAGTTCTACTCAACCCCAGTTTCAGATGTCTCTGCCATTATCAAAGCATTTCCATCTTATAGTACCAGACAGCTGTTATAACAAAAAGAAAAGGAATGCACGCTGAGCTACAAATCTCACATTTTATCCTCATTTATATGTCTCAGCATTTTTATATGACCATTATCCATGTACATGCATAACTCTTAGAAACCAGATATAGATAGGAAACTTCATTGTTTAATAAAATAAACAATGGTCTTTGGAACATGGAAAAATGCTTGTTGAAGGTTTCTCTTAGAAATCAGTTCTGTTATCCCAAATATAAAAAATTTAATCTACCCTGGGATGAATAGTAAATCAAAGGGACTTCAAAAATTAGGTGTGATTCAAGTGAGAGTAAGCATTTAAACCTATGAACTGGACTGGACGGTGGTGGCACATGCCTTTAAACCCAGCATTCGTGAGGCAGAGGCAGGTGGATCTATGTGACTTCGAGGCCAGCCTGGTCTACAAGAACTTGTTCCAGAACAGGCCCCAAAGCTACAGAGAAACCCTGCTTTGAAAAAAAAAATTTAAAAAGAGAAATGCAAAATAAACCTATGAACTACAGACCCAGAACCATGGGAAAGGCTGAATGGCTATTTCAGTGTTTGGAGTTTGCTTTTAGCATAGAATAACTTTGTGGAATTGAACAAAGCATTTGGCTCCCCCGAAATTGTTTAAATTCCAGGCAATGAAACAGGATGAGGTGTGTTTAGTGAATGATATTAAAAGAAATAATTCCTAAACAGCAACGGCGCTGCACTCATATCAAAACATTCACCCCTGCTGGCCATCATCACTGTGATTTCCTGATCTATGGCCTCTTTGTCTCCTGCTCCATGCTCTGATTGCAACTGTCACTGAGTCACACAGCCTGCGCTAGGCGTGACGCCAACGTGGTGACAACAACTGCCTGTGGGAAAGAGAACGTTAGTTTTCAGGGTCCTAGCAAATGGCTCAGTCAGGCTCCTGGTCCTAGGGCATGAAGTTCGGCTGTCATTCATAAGATGAAAAATAAATATCTACTTAACTGAATAAACCAGCAATCTGCAAAATGAACGCAAGCCAGAATGGTATAGCCAAGACAGACTGAGAAGACCCTACACTGTAGCAGGCAGATACGGACGCAGTTGCATTTCTCAAAAGCACAATACCCAGGTGCTCGACCCCTGTACAGTCTTGTTTTTATTTCCCAGGGTTACAGTAGGGCTTGCTGAATTTTGAATCCCTGATGTCCAGGGCATGGCATATATACAAATAACATTTACTTAGCTGAAGTGGAAAAATGAAGCCACCTAGAGACAGTACCTGTCACCTAGCTCAGTTCACTCCTCAAGCGATTCATGGCTAGGCAGCAGGGCACCGAGACGGTTCATACTCCTTTGGTCTTTGCAACTGAGCTAAATCATTCCATTTTCAACTAATTATTTTATCTCTGTAGAAACTAAGCCTTCAAAAGAAAGAACAAAGCCAGGCATAGTAGCACATGCCTTTAGTCCCAGCAATCCCGGGGACAGAGCAGGCTGAGTCTGAGTCTAGCCTCATCTACATAGTGAGTTCCAGCACGCCCAGAGCTACATAGTGAGACCCTGTCTAAATAAATAAACAACAAGCAAAATATTACCAAACAATATCAAACTCTACTAATGTAAAAACATAAACATGTATGTCACCGGGGTGTGTTAGCTACTGTGGCAACTGTGCAGTACGCCATTTTTTTCTCATGGTTCTGTATTGCTCTTTTTGGTTTGGATCTAAAAAAAAAAAAAAAAAAAGCTAGGACATTAAAATCATTCAAACCCCTCGAAAAACATACACCTCTCTTTGAAATAAACTGCTTACTGATTGATCATTGTTTCATTTAAGTAGCTCAACTCAATAAATATTTATTAAATTGCATAAACAGGCAATTATGGGATAAAAACAATAACAACAGCTTCAATGTGATTAATATTTCTTTGTCTCCACTTTTATGCTGATGATGTGCATATATTAGCTCCCTTGATTATCACAACAGAATTATGTGATCTCACCGCACAGACTAGGAAGGTTAGAGAGGTTAAGGAAAGCACTTGTCTAAGAAGTGGCTGAGTTGAAGTCCAACCCAGAGCTCTTAGGTGCTAAGGCTTAGTTAACACACACAGACAGAATCAAAATGTGGATAGTCAGTGTGGTTTGGGGGACCTGAAATTACTTGGACAGTCCTACTGGAGACTGAGACTGACCAGGTCAAGAGCCCCACGTTCGTGAGGCCACCAATGGCTGTGCAAGGCCAAGTCGACCTTGGCAAACCCCAGGAAGTAGGACTTGGTTTGAGAGTCTGACCTCATTAGTCATCTCCTCACTTCCTCCCTCTAGAACATTCTTCTCCCCACTCAGCCAGTATTTCCGCTTTTGTTTTGTAGTTGGGGTGTTTGCCACAACACCCTGCTCCCCATAGATTTCTTGGCTATATTAGGAACTTGTTTTCTTCCTCTTAGCCTGAGTCAAAGCTGGAATTTTTCAGAAGCAAGTCTATTAAGAAATGAAGGGGCAGGGACTGCGGAGACGCCCCAGTAAGCAAAGGTAAGCAAATGCTTGCCAGGTAATTAGGAGGGCAAGCCTTTGATCTCTGGCACCCTAGGAAAAGAGCTGGGCATTATATACCTGCAATCCTAGCATGGGGGGTAGGGGAGTTGAAGGCAAGAGGATCTCTGGGGCTTGCTGCTCTGCCACTAGCCGAATCCACGAACTCCAGGCTCAGAGAAACACCCTGTTTCAAAATGTAAGGGTGGGGGAGTTTGAGGAAGACAGCTGACAGTGGCCTCTGTCCTCCACATACAGGCTCCCCTACAAATAGAATCCGTGGGAACACCAAGTGGGTGTGTCGACCTGCCTATAATCTAGCTTCAGAGGATGGAGACAGCTGGTTAGCCAGATTATTCTATCATTGAGTTCTGGGTTTGTGGAGACTCTTCTTCAACGGGAGAAGCAATGGCAGATGATTTCAGACGTCATCCTTGGGCCTTCCCGTGCTTAGACACACACATGCACACACGCACCCACTCACAAAAGAAAAATAAATAAATAAATAAATAATAAATAAATAAATTTAGGTGATTAATAGCGCAGAGAAGCGAGTAACTCAATATTAAGGGAAAGCCATCCTTGCCAGACACAGTAAGCACTGCACGAGTTTCAGTTGTTAGAGTTGTTTCCTGAGAAAGCATAAAAATCTAGGCCTTCAACACACTTCCTAAAATGCAGTATATGAGCACTCCTACGGAGTCAGTCTGTATCTTTATTGGTCCTGTGATCTCAGGCAACAATTGTATACAGTGGGAGCGTCCAAGAAAAAAAAAAGAGAATCTCTTTAGACTCTCTCAAGTCAATGCGTGGCATGCTCGTGGTGCTCTTTGAAGCGTGGTATGGTGATTTGAATGCAACTGGCCCCCATAATCTCATAGGGAGTGGCACCATTAGGAGGTGTGGCTTTGTTGGAGCGGGTGTGACCTTGTTGAAGGAAGTACGTCACTGTGGGGGCCGGCTTTCAAGTTTCTTAGGCTCAGGATGCCGCCCAGTGTCTCAGTTGACTTCCTGTTGCCTACAAGATGTAGGATTCTCAGCTATTCCTCCCACGCCACATCTGCCTGCATGCCACTGTGCTCCTGCCATGATGATAATAGACTGAACCACTGAAACTGTAGGCAAGCCACCTCAATTAAATGTTTTCTTTATAAGAGTTGCTGTGGTCATGATGTCTCTTCACAGCAAGAAAAACCCTAACTAAGACATATGGTGTCATCATGGAAAAAAACACCAGTGCTGTATCAGTCGCTTCTGAACCCGGACATTGCTCTGAGCAAGCAGAACTACGGGTGAGCAAAGATTTACCTTGGGGCTGGGACAGCAGGAGCAACCTCTAGAGAAGGATGTAAAAAAAAATGCTTTTGCGGTGCTCACCTGCCGTCTGCCCTCTGCCCTCTGCCTTCAGACTGTGAGAATGGCCCCAGAGAAAGCAGACCAAAAAGACAGTCCCGAGAGTGAAAGCTCATTCCCGAATGAACTGTCTTTCTTTGGAAGAAATACTATTTGTGTATTAAGGCAATTTCTATAAAGAGATGATAGATAAGAAGTAAGTAGCAAGAACTGTCCAGACGAAAAGAGAGGGAATGATGTGATTAGAGAATGAAGAATACTTTTTATAATGATATCAGTGGGGCGGGGGGGGGGAAGGGGGGAGAGCTACCTCATTGAATAACATAAGATAATAATCAAAGTCTGTTTCCAATGACCTGAAGGACTGACAATGTCCTTTAAAAACAGGACTGTAGGAAGACTGAACAAGAACCCATTGATGGGTGGCAGTTCCCTCCATCCCTTTCTTCCTTCTTGTTCTTTCCGTGGTACATAGGATCAAACCTAGGGCTTTGCACTGGCTAAGCAAGCAGCAGTACACATATCAATGGTTAGTTAAGAAAAGCCAACACTTTTTGGACTTAAAGGATCATGCTTTAAGCAAAATCAATGTTGTCTTTACTGAGCTCGTATGAGGTATAATCTCTCCTACTAAGGATCTTTCCAGAAATAATTAGGATATCTTGGGTGGGGCTTGATAATTTCACCTTCAGCAGTTTTTTTGTTTAAATCTGATGTACCCCCAATCCAGCACTGTTGGCACAGTTTAGGGACTTCCCACCATTGTAATATATACACATACAGACATTCATACATACATAGCATATTTATGTTTTCACCATTATAAATCATGATACACAATCCACCTTCATAATAATAATTAATATTCACTGAATATGTTCTATGTGCTAGCTGGCACAAAATGTTTATGTGGTCAGGACAACTTGTTACTGAGATAAAATCTTATGTAAGGGTTCTGATGCCCATTTCCAGCCTGTTGTGCCAGATTAGCTCTGAGGCCACTCCATACTTTGACGATGGAAAAATACTGATGGCTATATTGCGTGGAGACTAACACTTGGCTATCAACTCAGTAAGCACCCTCAAACGGCAGCTTATTCAAGAGACTGAGGGAAGATAAAGCCTTGTGTCCTGGCTCCAGCAGCGATCTTAGCTGCTATTGTTTCTAAAAGTAGCACTCCTGAGTGGCTGCTTCCAGGAATGTCTACCCAGACTGAGCGGCAGAGACTGAGTTGGCTGTCTCTGGGAACTGGGCACATTTCATAAGCTGTCTCTTCCAGGACCCATCAAGGCGTAGCTGTAGTCAAGGGAACACAGTAGTGTGGAATGGCTGGGCTCAAGATTTTCTTTTCCTTTTTTCCGATAAAATCAGATAGCAGATAGAAAAATGCTCCGATACGGTGGAGGTCGGGGGAGAATCATAATGGCCTAAATAAATTGCCGAGTTATGAGGAAGTTCATGGGAGCCTGGGAGATGTGATTAGGCACAGAGGCGTTATCCAGTGAAAGGGAAAGATGTCTTCCGGGGTGTTTGTTTGAGGAAGAATGCCCCCTATACGCTCATGTTTGAATACTTGGTCCCCAGTTAGTAGAACTGTTTGGGAATGATGAGGAGGTACAGCCTTGTTGCAGGGGGTGTGGCTGTCACTGGAGGTGGGCTTCCGGGAACATCCCCAGTTATCTGTCTGCCTTATAGCTGTGTCTCAAGACCTAAGCCCTCAGCTTCTGCTCCAGCACCATCCTTGCCTGCCCGCTGCCATGACTGTCATAGTCTAACCCTCGGGAACTGCAAGCCCAAAGTAAACGCTTTCTTTTATAAGCTGTTCCAGTCAGGGTGTTTTTGCCATAGGAATTGAAAAGTAACTAAGGCATCACCTTATCCTTCTTTTCTTCAACTTCTGTTATAAGCAGGGGAGAACTGCAGCTTGTATTAATCACACGTTTATAATACCTTAACCAAGAGGTGGGGTGGAGAGTCACTTGGAGGCATGGTGTCCACCTATGTAAAGTCAATGGAAGGGAGGGGCCAAAGCTTACAGTACTGATGTTCAGAGACCACACCACTGTATTTGGTCTAGAAAGTGAACGGCAGCCCTTATTCTCCTGGCCTTGAAGCACTGTATATAACCACTTGTTATGAGAAAGAAAACTCAGGACACTGGGGCGAGATTTCTATTACACGGCTTCTGAAAACCTTTGGAGAACACGGCGGAGTGAGGACTACCAACAATTTCAGCACATATTATTCCGTCTCTATCATTTTACAAATAAGTCAGCGAAGGCACCAAGAAGCTGAGTGAATCTCTGAAAGTCATTTCGCTAGAAAATGGAAAGCCTGATGTCTGAGTGTTAACCAAGAGTTGATTTCCTATGTGGCCTCGTCTTCTCTTTTCCTTCTAGCCCTTCTAAACAACTAAGAACTTGTGACCACTACATGTAAACGTTCCTTCTTTGAGGCAAAGTGCTAGGTGGGGCATAATACTAACTAAGGTGTGCTTCCTCTAGGTTGGGGTATAGTAATCACTTACTATGGTGTGCTTCCTCTAGGTTGGGTATAATAATCACTTACTAAGGTGTGCTTCCTCTAGGTGGGGTATAGTAATCACTTACTAAGGTGTGCTTCCTCTCAGTGGGGTATAATAATCACTTACTAAGGTGTGTTTCCTCTAGGTAGGGTATAATAATCACTAACTAAGGTGTGCTTCTCACAGGATGTAAATAAATACCCTCACCCTCCCAAATGCCCACTGAAGGTTTCTGCTGTGCCTATCAGATCAGACAGCCACTCTTCATGTGGATCTTAGAGAAGTTGATGTTGGGAGTCAGTTGGCACGTGGAAACACAGTGAAGGGGCAAGGGACAATTTTAGTAAGGAAGGTGAGGGACTATGGCAAAGATACAAAGAAAAAAAGAGAAGAGGAAGAAGCAGCAGCAACTCCCTAGCCCTGAGGCTGCAACTCCCTGCTAGCACCTCGGACTAAGCATGTGTGAGGTGTTGGCTTGAATGCCCACCACTGTCCAGGGTTGGGCAGGGGTGGAGGAGGAGGCAAACACTGGTTTAATCTAAGAAGCGGTAGGACCAGGATAAGAAATTCTGCTGTTGGTGTTTCCTGAAACCAGGTGTGCGCTCCAGTGACTATTCATGGATGTCTGCTGAATAAAAACACATGTGCCTGGCCCTCAAGACACCTGGGAACCAGCTCTGGCTTTCTCGCTGGCCTGGGGGTACCCACCTTCCTGAGCCTCTTTCATCATTGGTTACATGAAGGCTCACGGACTAACTGATGTCGTCAGCAAGTCTAGATAGTTATGCTTGCAGGGGAACTGCCCCATTCAACTATGTCATCCATGTCATTATGGTGGGGCCAAACAAATTACCGCTACATCGGTCAAGTCTGACTGACCAGGAACAGTATGCGTCCAGGCAGAAGCATTCCTAAACCGAACCAATAAGAGATATTTCCAAGGAGTTTCAGAACTGGTGCTAGAAAGGTTCTATTGGCCTTTCTCTGTGTCTTAAGCTGAGAGCGGACAGACCTGCAACTAATTAGTAGTTTACCTTCAGCAATTTAACCTGAGTGGTAAACACAGCCCGGAAGGAAGGAGGGAGGGAGGAAGGGAGGGAGGGAGGGCACAGTCATTGGTAAAGTAGTGAGACAGAATCACTTTCAGATCTGTGATCCCAGTTGACGCTGACAACTGAACATCTCTGGCCTTTATGTAACACGATCCCGTGGAATCCTTATGTGAATATTAAACTCCTCATTCAGAAAATTCTATCAGCCACTTGGCCAATAAATGATATACTAATTGAGATGAAAATAGTTGTGCCCAATATGTTCACACATGTTCTTCATGCTCAAAGAGTTGATTTTAAAATCTGTTGATTTTAAAGGCTTAGGGGGTGGCCAGACAGAATTATTCCATATCACAGAAAACAATCAAACTGAAAAAGAGAATGTCTGTCAAAAGGAGAGTTCCTAGAATGGGGACCACAACTATAGATTAAGTTAGGACATGGGGACGTTAAATGGCACATTCTCCTACCTGAATATGTAAGGTAGACAGAAACAGGCAGTATAGCTGCCATCTCCACAGTCCCGGGGAAGCTGGAAAGAGGCAACTGTCCCTATTTAAATCTGGATATGTGGCTTCATGTGTTTCCTCTAAACCTTCCTCTTTATTTTTAAAAAGGAATTAAAATATCTGTTAGCTCGACCCCTTCAGTTTGAGCTCGAGATGAATACCGCCCTCACGGTATCTCTGTCCCAGCATGAAACAAAGGGCTCCATCGTCACAAAAGGTCTTGGTAAGAAGTGAAAGGGCAGCAAAGAGTCGACGCTTTAGAAAGCGTTAAGCCAAATCATAGCAAGTAACTTCATAGTACGTTTATAATTTACCTTCATGCTTACGAGTCACGCTCCCAAGGTTTATTTACCTTCATGCATACAGGGTTTCTTTACTGTGTAGTTAGAAGAACTTTGCATTCTCAGCCAGTGAGCTTACTACATATTTTAACAACTCCTATAAAAGCAGTGCCGGAATGGAATTAGAGGCCTATTTCGTTGAAACTCTGAGATAAAGGCCTTTGTGTAAAGAAGTGTGAGGAAACCTTTGATGTCGTGCAGCGGCTCTGAATTTTCCTCCTGATGGGTAAGGAAGAGACCGAGTCCCGCTTGCCTGCCACACTGCACTATCTGATGAATGAAAACCATAGCCTCCTGCTGCTGGCTCATTTGTCTTTGTGTACATCTGCGATGTGACTGGCATCTGTCACTGATCAGACAAGAAGACCCTCCTAATGGGCCCTCTGAAGAAGCACAGAGGAGCCTTGTGTCCTAATTTGAAGCATGCAGCAAAGAAAAGATGGCCCTGTGACTCCAGCGGTCTGAAGAGGCTGGAAGAATCTCAGGGGCTACACAGAGCTACATCCATTGAAATTTAGGGGGAAAAAATCTTAGGAGTTTTTATTTGCTCTTCATTGCATTCGTTTTCTTTTTTTTTTTTTTTTTGGTTTTTCGAGACAGGGTTTCTCTGCGGCTTTGGAGCCTGTCCTGGAACTAGCTCTGTAGACCAGGCTGGTCTCGAACTCACAGAGATCCTCCTGCCTCTGCCTCCCGAGTGCTGGGATTAAAGGCGTGCGCCACCACCGCCCAGCCTGCATTCGTTTTCTAAAACTTTTACTTTAGAGGGGTTTTTTTATAATTAAAAAACATATTACTAGAGGAATGTATGCATAGCATATGTTTTTGTACCTTGATTTTATTTACTTATTTTAAGGTTACCAATGGGAATATAGGTGATTTTTTTTTAATGATCTTGGGATAGGCGGAATCAGACTGTGTTAATAACATTAGATTTGCCCAGACTGAGAGAACATCAATCCACGTGCTACAGTGGTTTCATGTGACATGATGGCATGCAGACAAACATGCTGCAGGAGAGGTAGCTGAGCATCCTACATCTTGACTTGCAGGTAACAGGAAGTTGTTTGTCTCACTGGGTGTGACTTGAGCATATATGAGACCTCAAAGCCCACTTCCACAGTGACACACTTCCACCACACCTACTCCAAGAAGGTCACAGTTCCTAAGAGTGCCACTTCCTTTGGGGGCCATTTTCTTTCAAACCACCACAGCTTGCTTATGCAAGCAAGTAAACCCCTCACCCGAGTTCTGAGGTTCCACATCTACTAAAAAGATTTATGAGGCTTCATGATCTAACACATGCAGGACCGAACAGAATGTGTGGCACACAATTTCAAATCGTATATAAATTTCAGTTACTACCCCCAAACAATTAAAAAAATTCCCCATATAAATAGTGTAGGTTATCCTTAATAGATATGCACGAGGAAATATTCAAATCTGGAAAGTAAGCTTTGTTAAGGTAAGAAATACTCTAGTCTAATTCGAGGGTTATAATTATTCTTCAGATGCTTTCAGCAGAATGACACTTCTCCTTTCTGCTATTGTTATCTCAACATCTGCTGTATTTCATTTTAATCCATGGCTTTATAAAGAGACCTCCAAATAATATCATTCACAGAATACTTATCCAAAGAATTCCGAGGCCAAAGAGAGAAAACTCTGGCAAGAAACTGCACTCAAATACATCGGCTTAAGCATTTTTTACTATTTCTATTTTACGTTATTATGTTTTTAATGAATGTTCTGAATTTAGGCCAGAGAGGAAGGAGTTGAAAGGAAAGAAAATGGAAATGGATAGAGAAAAGAAGCGCCGTGTGTCCCCTAGACTTTGTTTGGAAGATTCCACACTACCAGAGAGAGAGACTAGGTACCTCTGTCTCTCAGAAAATGGGGTTCCAACCTTGCTTTCGCTGACATCTTGAGCCAGATAATTTGCTGCAGTGAGGGGCTATCCTTCCGAGTGTCCCCGGACACTTCCCACTAGATGCCAGTGACATTCCCTCCCACTCAGCCCCTGAGCTGTGACAACTAAAAGTATTTCCAGACATCACCAAATGTCCTCTGGATGCACGGGGGGGGGGGGGGGGGGGGGGGGGGGGGGGGAGCAGAGTGCAGAGGGAACTTGCTTCCAGCTGAGGGCCATTTGGATGAAATGAACCCCTACTAGCTTTTCTGTTGTGCATAAGTGGGTCCAGTGAACTTGAGAGTCCCTGAAAACCCAATTCTGAATTGTATGATGGCTCTAATTATTTAGGAACTTTGTATTATACTTCTCTTTCAAAGAGTTCGGGTCCCTTAGAGTCTCTGAGAACTGGAGTGAGACGTTCCAAGGCCGAAGAAGGACTTCTGCAGACGAGGGTGTGCAAGCAAGGGGACAAATCCTTCACCTGAGTTCTTAGTTTCTAAGGGCAGGGGAGGCTGACTAAGGCCAACTTGAAAGTGTAGCACATTTGATTAGGCATGAATGCGCAGGGGTTCAGTTGGTGGTATCAGAGTTGGGAAGGAATTCTCCCCATTTCTTTCTTTACTCTCAGCATTTTTACTTTCTCCTGCCTGCTTGCCTCCTCTACCCTCACTGTTTTCTCTTCTCTATCTGTGACCTCTTTATAGTTTCTCTCCTCTCTGATCTTGTTTTAGTTATACTCTGGTCACGAAGACGGAGCACTGTGGTCCTGAAACCAGATGGCCTGACTTCGAATCAGAGCTCTGCTGCTTTCTCGTTGTGAAACCAACTGGAGCTTCTTTAACCTCCATCTGCTTTCATTTCCTTCCTACTGAACTGGGGGTGACACCAAGAGCACCTCTCTGTGGTGAGACAAACTTGAACATCTATGGAGCAAGTGGGACTGAACCAGGACATCTAACATACGTATGCTCTCTGTGGCAAGACGAACATTGAACATCTATGGAGCAAGGGGAACTGCACCAGGACAGGAGGTGAGCATGCAACGTTAGCTATTATATTTTCTTCTTTCCACTATTATAGAACATGAGTCACGATTGTAGAGTTTAGCAACACCCACCTGTTTGTTTCTGTAAAGGTCTGTCCTGTCCCTTTAAGAGACAAGCCCCGCCCACTCCCCTCCCTTCTGCAAACTAGCAGATCTTCCTTCTGCTTCCAGCCCTTCTCTCTTAGGAAGATATGGCTGCTGCCATGGCTCATTTCCTCCCTCCCCCCATCCTCCGTTTCTCTCTCTCTCTCTCTCTCTCTCTCTCTCTCTCTCTCTCTCTCTCTCTCCTTTCCCCTCCATAACCCACTGAATAAACTATACCCAAATCCTCTCTCTGCATGGTATGCCCATCTGTATGTCTCTCACCCCCTACCCCCCCCCCAACCTGGGACCCACTGCCCCTCGTGGCCCGATGCTCACTGCCGCCCCTTGGGGGAAGAGCGCCATTTTTACCATTACAGTATCTCTTTGGAGAGTTATTTTCGTTCCTGCTTTGGGAAAGAAGACATCGGGGTACCTGCTTCTAGGAGTTGATTTAACAGCTTTATGCTGGGGCAACAAATGTACCTGTGATGGCTCTTTTGGATTTCTTCCTGGAGAATAAACAGTTATTGTGGTGCTACTACAATGCACCGTGCATTCTGTGTGTCCAGAGCAAAAAATGAAATCACACTAAATACTGGAAAGAAAACCTGGAAAAGCCTTTCTAAATGATACCCTCATTTGTCTATTATTTCTCTCAGAAGAAAAAAAAAAAAGACCTTCTACTAGTATATAATAAATGAGAGTTTCCATAGGGAGCACATGCGTGTTTCAGCTGTAGATCACTTATCTAACACGGATGGAGCCCAGAACTCAATCCCCAGCCCCACAAAATCATCATCAGAAAAGATTAAAATAAGTGATGTCACTATGGTTACTCATTATTGTTATTCCCAGATCCACAAAGTCCCTCAAAAACCAACAAGGAGACCGAGTCCCATATGTAAAAGCAAAGAGCCTTTATTTTATACAAGCTTGCACACTCGGTCTCTCCGTGTGTCCAGCGTATTGGAATAAGCGGAGAGCCTCAAGCTCAGATAGAATTGGGTCTTTATAGTAGTAAAGGTGGGACTGAGGGATTTCTAAGGCTCAGGACTCCTGATTGGCTGACATTTGTCTAGGGTGTCCTGGTGAGTGTGTGCTGGCAGGTGATCCTATCTACAGCAGTTGGAATGTTAGGAATTTCCTTTGGATGGTCTGTTCTTGGTCGGTACCTGGAAATTTCAGTTTGTGGTCCTTCCTACAACCAGATATTACCTCAGGGTAAACTACTGAGACTCAAGCCTCCATTAAGCTTATCATGGCTAGGTCCTACACTGGCAGGTGATAATGGTTGGAAGTTAAGAACTTCCTTTGGGTAGTCTGTTCCTATCAAGCTTATCATGGCTGGCTCCTTCAATTATAAGCTAAGGATACAGATCAGGAAACTGAGGCAAAGAAATAAATGAAAAGCAGGTAAATCATGATGCCCCTTAAGAAGAAATGTCAATGAAAGACCCTCGAAGAGGACTTTCTCTCAGGAGGAGACCTCCCCGATGCCAAGGAACAGGCCAAGACCATAAGGATGCAAATCTCAAGAGGTTTATTGGGTAAACACAGGTACCTGCGGGCGGCAAGTCTTTCGGAGGACTTGCGCGCCTGCCTGCTGACTGGAGGGCAGGTGTTTTATAGGGAAGAGCAAAAAGCAAGTTTACAGAAGCAAAAAAAGCGTGGTTATCAGAATGAGGCGGGGGCATGAATGGTTTCCTCTCTCAGCATGGGTGTCAGCAAAAGTCATCCTGTTCCTATCTTATAGATATCCTGTTTTGCAGTCAACCTGCTTTGTTGATGTCCTATCTTATTGATATCCTGCCTTGCAGTCTTCCTATCTCATCCTGCTCTCTCAAGCACATGGGATGTTCTTACGAGAGCAGGCTGGCTGCTGCGGGTTTTGAGGAGGGGGTCTGTAGGGTCTTTCAGTCAATGACATTAAAACTAGTGATTAGAAAAGTATAAAACAAAAAACAAAAATCAAAAACAAAAAACCCACTCAAAGCAGCAATAGAGTATTTGGGCAGGGTGTCACATTAATAAAGACTAAGAGAGATCAATATCCTTTATGTGAATGACAGAGAAAATGGTACTGCCTTTCAATACTAATGAGGAAATAATTGGTTTAAAAAAAAAAACATGCTTTAGAGGGAGAGCCAAGTAGTTCTATCTTTAATTAAAATCCTTATTCTCAAGTCAGTTGTGGTATTTATATTCAGGATGCTGAGGTAGACATGAGTTACATAGCAGGAGCCTATCACATAGAAGGAAGGAAGGAAGGAAGGAAGGAAGGAAGGAAGGAAGGAAGGAAGGAAGGAAGGAAGGAGAAAGAAAGAAAAAGAAGGGAGGGAAAAAAGAAGGGAAGAAGGAAGAAAAGCAGAAAAAAGAAAACATTCTTCCTTTTGAATTTACGAATGCCACTTATGTAATTTTTTTCTGAGAGAAATGTTCGTTTTTATAAGTATACTTTTAAGGCAAATAAACAAAATTTTTTGAAAGTGATGTTTCTCACAGGGAAAAAAAAAACCCTACTAGTAAGGACTGGTTGATATAGAAATAGAACAATGAATAGACACTAGTACTTGCACCAGGCTTTTTCTGTTGGGTCACCAACCAGCTCCCAAATCAGACACAGAGACTTATTTTAATTTTAAATGTTCTGCCTGGGTTAGGCTTGTTTCTGGATAGCTCTTTTTAACTTAAATTAACCTGTTTCTCTTTATCTACCTTTTGCCTCCGGGCTGATTGCCTTTCTTACCTTTGTATATCTTACTTTCACTGCTTCCCTGTGTCTGTCTGGTATCTGCCTGACTTTTTTGCCTGGAGCCGATCACTTTTCTCTCCTCCTTCCCTCTCATTCTTTTTTCTTCTCCTCTTGAGCCTAGAATTCTCTTCCTGTTTATTCTCTCTGCCCAGTAGCCCTGTCTGTCCCTCTCCTGTGTGGCTATTGGAATTCAGCTTTTTTTTTTTCAAGTTCACAATCAGGTGCCTTAGGCAGAAAAGGTGAAACGGATGCAACCCATCTTTACATAATTAAACACACATTCTTACATCACTAAATAAGTGCAGCAAAAACAAAGGTAACACATCTTTACACAGTTAAAATAATATTCTACAACAGGTAGCTTGCTGTGTAAACACATTACAAACTACCGAATAACTGTCGAGGAGAATAAATACTGCTATAAAGCACACACATGGCATGGTACACTAGCGCTATAAGCAAACCCATGGCTACTGCGTGCACATTTGAATATCTAGGGAAGGATCTCAGTTCATATCTTCTCAACTACTAACCGTAGTCCCTGGGAGACGTGTAGACTTGGTGTCCTCTGCCTCGGCAGTGACTTCTGGCAGAGATCCTAGTGTTCACAAGGAATGTTTGGTTTAATTTTTTTAAGTTTAATTTTAAAAGCAATGTAGTATTCTTTGCTCTCTGGGATTCCTGAGGAGGGGGTGGGTATCTTGGTTTCTTTTTCTCTTTCTGTGATAAATCCTCCTGATAAAAGCAGCTTAAGGGAGAAAGGTCCCTTTCTGCTCCCAGCTCCAGCATCTCAACTATCGCGGCCAGAGAGCCCTAGCAGCTGCAGCGTGAGGCACCGGATTCCATCACATCTATAGTCTGCAAGTATGAACCGGTGAATACTTGTGCCTAGCTCATTTTCCTGTTTTGTTCAGTTCAGGGTTCCAGCCCAAGGCACTGTGGGCAGGCCTTCTCATTTCAATATCCTAATCGGGATAATCCCTCTCAGACAGGTCCAGGGGTTAGTCTAACCTAGACAATCCATCACTTACCCTCTAAGTGATTCCCGGTCTTAGCAGTTCCTGCTGACTGTCACAGGATGGAAAGCTCCAAGTCTGTGATATCTGAGTTTAGGCCATTGTGATTTCGCCATTTGATATTGTTTTGTGCTCTTTTTGAATGATTGTTTAGAATTATACTTGAGGTCTCCGGCTCACATTGCACTTCCCTCAGATTTCTAGCTTACCACATGCGATTTCCATCTACTAACATTGTTGAGAGTGCACTCTAGACATATATAAAAATATATTTTAGAATGTAAGTTTCCTGGTCTCTTTCTTTCTGTTATTTTGGGGTGGGGGTGGAGAGCGGGGGGAAACAGAGTGTCAGTCTGACCTCAAATGTACCTGTACTTGAGCCTGAACCTGGATTTTGCTATGGAACCAAGGCTGGTTAAAAACAGATGTAGTATGGAGCTGCTGGCTGCTTCCCGCTGCCCGGCTCCTGGCCGCTGGCTAGCTTTACCCAAAATAATTAGATGGAAGCTGTATTCTTTTAAACACTGCTTGACCCATTAGCTTCTAGCCTCTTACTGGCTAATTCTCACATCTTGATTAACCCATTTCTAATCATCTGTGTAGCACCACGAGGTGGTGGCTTACGGGGAAGGATCTTAACCTGCATCCATCTTGGAGAGGAGAGCTATAGCGTCTTCCTCACTTCCCTTCTTCCTAGCATTCTGTTCTGTTTACTCCGCCTACCTAATTTTCTGACCTATCAAAAAGTCAAGGCAGTTTCTTTATTAACCAATGAAAGTAACACATAGACAGCTGACCCTCCTCCATCAAACAAATAGCAATCCTCTTGCCTCAGCCTTCAAATATGGGTCACTATGAGTAGTTTAAAAGAATACGCATTAGAAACTTTTAGAACTTTTTTGGGGGTAGGGGGAGTTGGTTTTTTCCAGACGAGGTTTTTCTCTAGCTTTGGAGTCTGTCCTGGAACTAGTTCTTGTAGACCAGGCTGGCGTCGAACTCACAGAGATCTGCCTGTCTCTGCCTCTCGAGTGCTGGGATTAAAGGCATGCGCCACCACTGCCCGGCTTAGAACATTTTTTACATAATAAAATTAGACCCCAAGAAGATACAGGTAGTGTAGAAATTTTACGTTCACTCAGAAGAAAAGAGAAAGGGACGATGCAGCGCAAAGGCCCTGGGATGGACGCAGAAGTGGTCAGGCAGGTGGCCTGACTGAGAAGTAATATGAAGGACAACTGCTGACAGGATCTAGGAATCAAAGCAAACCATATTTAATTATGTAAAAGGTTACTTACTAACTAGATTAGCAGATTGCTGTCCTAATCCAAAAACACCAATATGACAAACAACTGCCAGAAAACACAACTAAAAAAAAAATCAAGCTAGCTAGGTCCACATTTAGGGGTCACGGTGTGGTACCAGAGAGGTATTAGCCAGTATCACGCTTCATCTCCTTATGGCAGGCCGAGAGCAGAAGGTAGGGGAGGGTAGAATAATATTCTCACACCCAGTGGTGTGGCCTTGGTGTCTAAAAGTGCGGGAGAAAAAGAGAACAACCACACACTTGTCAGATCTCTGGGCACCAGCTGGCCCTGGGGAAGCTGAGTACACAGACATCAGTCAGCACTTTCCTGTTCACGGTCTCCGTGGATACGTGGACAGTCAAGTTCAAGGCTGTCTTTTTCACTTCCTTGTTCTTATTTATGTTTCACAATAGTGCTTCATGGTAGCTTACTGTTAATTCTTTCTTTAGTGATGCGGAGCCTGTTGCTCCCATGATACCTCACTCCTAGCTCTTCACTCACAGTCTTGACCAGTCCATGCCTTCACTAGATTGCAAGTTTTCTGAAGTCCTGGACTGTGTTTATTCCATCTAGAGTATGAAGCTGGTGAATATCTGACGTGAATATCTCAACAAAGGAACTTTCTTGACAAGGAGATCTTCTGTGAGTTTATAAAGATAAACCAACCCTTCGAGGGTCAAACCAAAATACTGCTTGCTAATAAAGTCCAGGTGACTCAGATATTCAGAAGAGGTTTTCACCGATGAATACTTCAGTATTATAAAGTAAGATATGTATTAAGAGTAAAGGTGAAAAAATAATTTAAAAAAAATATATCGAACCAAGGCATGGGGGTTGCTACAACTAAATGAACTATTGCAGATACTTTTTTTTTTTTTTAAAGCAAATGACATTTTAGAGATATGAAAAGTAAAAGAAAAGCGGGGGCCAGCAAGACGGCTCAGCACACAGGTGGACTTGCATGGTGGACTGTGTTTGATCCTTGGAAGCCACAGAAATGTGGAAAGAGAACCAACTCCTTCGTGCTGTCTTCGGATCGCCACACATGTGCGGTGGCTTGCACGTGTTCAGACTCAAGCACACCTAAGCTCATGCTGTAATAATGAATGCTATTGCCTTGTTCTGGTTCAGACTCCATAAAAGTGGACGGAGTGTGTCAGACGCTACTGACACCTCTTCACTTGAGTGCACAGGAATTCCCCAAATACAAAGGCAAAGTCATCCCACCGATGGTAGTGAATTCTATGTCACGATAACCTCTGACAACAGCCCATCCGGGTCTCACTTTCTAAGTTCTTATCACAACAAACGGATCCATCTGAATACTGAACTTTCAGAGAAGCACAAGAAGGACGGACGACTAAATACAGATTCTAAACAGAAGGCGTTAATAGTTCCATGGCCCCAAACAAGTGTAGCTACACCGTGCTAAGATGTGGACACATATTTGTAGAAAGCAATTTTATTTGCCCAAATCCATTCTAAATGATTCTGTAGAAACAGCTAGGAGGTTTAGATACGTAAGCAGAGCGAGGCAGGTAAAAAAGAGACTGTTCAAAGGATGTGGCAGGGCTTGGCAAGGGACCCAGAAGGAAGTCTGGGACAAGGCAACAAAGGAAGGAAACTTGAAATAAACAAAGATTGGCTGAAGCCCAGGAGGCAAACAGGGTGTGAAGGATTGGAGGGCCTTTGATAAGGAACTTTAGAGGCGAAGGTGGCTCTTCAGTGTGAAGGAAAGCCGGGTCTGCCTGGACTTTCAGGCTGAGGAGAATAAAGACAGTTCTCTATGATGATGAGGTGACTAGACAAATGTCACTAGAATTGGAGACTTCACCTTGTAACAATCACTTTTCTATTTGTATAAGGTATATTTTATTTTATTTATTTTTACTTTTTCTTTTGGAGACAGGGTCTGGCTGTCCTGGAACTTGCTATGTAGACTACGTTGGCCTCAAACTCACAGAGATCCACCTGCCTGCTGGGCTTCAAGTCCATGCACCACCACACCCAGCTTGTATGAGTATTTTTGTTAAATAAAAGTATGGCATCATACAATAACAAAATAGGTTTCCAAAATGGACACATTTGGGAATGTTACTAAAAACTGGTTCCAACGGAGGAAAGTCCTAAGAGTTAGCTTATTTCTCGCTAGGCATTCAGTCCTACAGCATCTTGTATTGACTGTAGCGCGCGGAGATGTAGCGTGCGCCATGGCGCTGTCATGTCGTGGGCACGGAGCCTGGACGCCATTTGCTGTTCCACGTCAAACTTGACAACTTGTGCTCATGCGCGCGAGCTCCCCCTTGTGCGCATGCTCGCGAGCTCCCCCCAGCGCGGGGAGTCTTTCGATCTGGCCATCCGATCTGGCCAATCATAATTTAAGCACGATCACTCCATTCTGGCCTGAGCCATTGGGTTGATGACACGTCAGGGCTTTGTCTGGCACCGTATATATTCTTCTGCTTCACGGGGATGGGGTCTTTTGCCTCTCTACAACCTCAAGTGTAAGTGCACCAATAAAGTGTGTTCTGAGAAGAATCCTGTTGCGGTCGTCTCTTCTACTGGCGGGAGCGGCGTGCTGCAATTGACTAAATGTTTGCCTTGTGTTTGCACATCCTCCTAAGATTGTGGGGCTCCTCGGGGGCTTACAGCGGCCCTTCAGCTTCAAGACCCCATGAGCACTGTGTCAATTCTTAACCTCGCATACATGCATCATCTTCCCCTTTCTCTCTCTCTCTCTCTCTTTCTTTCTTTCTTTCTTTTTTTTTTTTTTTTTTTTTTAACACAGTCTTTGTCTGTAGCTCATGTCCAGGCTCTTCAACACTGAGATGTGTGCTACCCGACTGTCTCATAGAGACTGTTACAATAGCTTGTTTTTCTGGTCTTCAGTCTTACAATATTAACTATGGAAACATGAGAAACTGAAAGAAAGGGCATGCAAAATGGCTCAGTGGGTAAGGACCTTGCTTCCAAGCCTGATGATCTGAGTTCAAGCCCCGAGACCCACGTGGTGGAAGAGAACTCCCATGAGTCATCTAACCTCCAGACTCATGCTTCCCCTGGCAAACACACAAATTAACATTTTAAAGAAAACATTTAGATAGTATAAGATTCTATTTCAAAGAAATAACATTTTTCCTCAAACACTAATATTTCCTTTCTAGCTTTTCTTCCACCTCTATCAATTAAACATCTACATCATGGTTTCAAAATACAACTGCACATATATACACATGCACTCTGTCCACCAGATAAAGAACTGTTATATAGCAAGGTTGCATGTAAGTGAAGAGTCATCAAGACTTTTTTCGTTGGCAATTGTAACAACATGTAGAATTGTAAGAAACTCTAAATGAGTCGTTAGAAGTACTGAGCTTTACACAAACCCAACAAGGAGACCAAATTAAATTCAAACACAATAGTGCAGAGGGAGCTGGAGGGAAAAAAGACTGGCCTTTGTTTGTTGGGAAATCGGGTAAATTTTAGAGAAAGGAAGGAAGAAGGGATGGTATTAACTATTTTATGTTGGGTGGGGGGAAACCTGACAAAAACTCCATAAGGAAGGGCTTATTTCAGCTCACAGTTCCTACAGAATGTCCTGATGGAGAAGGCATGGCAGCAAGAATTTGAAGCGGCGGGTCACATGGCATCTACAGCCAGGAAACAGGATGACTTCCGTGCTCAGCAAGCTTTCTCCTCTGTATGCAGCCCAGATCCCCTGTCCATGGAATGGTCCCATCCACACTGAGACTAGTCGTTCCCACATCAAAGGCCCCAACCTAGAAAATGCCTCACAGCCATCCCCAGAGGTCTGTTGTCTACTCTACCATCACTAGGAGGCACAGCTCTCAAATGGAGCCCTAAGACTGCAGAGAACCAGGTAAACAGTGTCCCACCCAGAGGTAAGGCAAGATAAGGTGCTGGGGGGTGGGGTGGGGTCTAAGACAGACTACAAATAAGAGGTCAAAGGGCAGCAATGGCAAAGACTTTTCTGCTTGTAGGGACCAGGAAAGGAGGCAGATCAGTGACTCAATTGCCTTTTGTGTTTTTATTCTCAGAGTCTAACAAGTATGAGACACAATGTTTTCAGTGAGTGTTAGCAAAGGACACTACTATCCACAGATTAATTTTTGCACTATTGATTCATAAACATCAATGTGCAAATGAGTTCTCTGGGGAATATTGTTAAGTGAAGATTCTAACTCAGGAAGGACGGGGTAGAGGCGAGGAGCTGACATTTCTAACAGACTTCAGATGATGTTTTGCAAGGATGGATGCTTGAAGTATTTTTATAAAACAAATAAATCGCAGAGGCAGGCAGATCTCTGTGAGTTCGAGACCAGCCTGGTCTATAAGAGCTAGTTCCAGGACAGGCTCCAAAACTGTCAGGAACCGTATTTCCTCCTAAAATCATTACAGGAACCATCGCCTTGGGGAGTCTGCAGAGAACCCCACACCTATAATTGTGTTGAGAGTCGGTCCATTGACAGAACCTGCCCACACCCAATTAGCTGTTATCTGTTAGCGGAACCCGCCTCACATTCCAGCTATCCAGGGAACTAAACGTAACCTCCTGGCCTATGTGACCTGGACCAAGTGACAAGAGTCCAGGCCCCTGTGCCCCCCCCCCCAATTCCTTACCCTATATAAACTGTAACCTGTCCCTAATAAACGGAGGCTGTGACAAATTTAGCATGGCCTCCTCCTTCTTTTCTAGCTCATTCTCTTCCAGATAGCACCCCTCCGAGACCCTGGAGTAACTGATTGCAGGGTGGGTTACAACCCCTAGACTCAGTGACCCACCCAAGGCAATCGACACAAAACCACAGAGAAACCCTGTCTCGAAAATCCAAAAAAAAAAAAAAAATAAATAAATAAAATAAAACAAATAAATCAGTGAATTATGTTCCCCAGCAGAGAGATACCTCCTGTGGGCTTATCAAAGACCTTAGTTATGAAATTATCCTCTCTTTCACCTTTAGTGGGTAGAAATAAATAGATAATTGGATATCAAAAGAGGAAATCCAGTGTCCCTGTGCAGGTCAGTAATAATACATTTGAAGGCATAATCATTGTGAATGTCCATTTTAATAAGAAAATAAATCCCTATATTATTTATAGCAACACATCTATACTCTAAATTTTTTTAAGATTTATTTATTTATTATGTATACAATATTCTGCCTCCATGTATGCCCACATGCCAGAGGAGGGCGCCAGATCTCATTACAGATGGTTGTAAGCCACCATGTGGTTGCTGGGAATTGAACTCAGGACCTCTGGAAGAGCAGACAGTGCTCTAAACCACTGAGCCATCTCTCCAGCCCCCCACATCTATACTCTAAAGTGTCCAAAAGAGCTTCCTGTGTTAATAGAAATGTTCTGTATTGACTGTCCACTAAATATATGTATCTGTTGAGCTCTTGAAATATCCCTAGTACTCTCAGGAATAAATAGCCAGACATGGCTTCCAGCCACCATGATTGTTAATGCTGCCAGCGTCACACAAAGACACCAGATACCCAGATGCTTTTTGCCTTCTGAGGGAAGTATGTACGCTTGCTACTAAGGCTCTAATTTAACTACTAATTGATAAAAGAGACCTCAGAAGTCTCTGGGGCCCACCATGAGAGCTGACGGCAGAAGGAAACTTGAGTCTCTTTCCCATAGAAGGCAACTGATAACAACCAGGGAATTTAATCCCTCTTTCAGCTAAAGCTAGCATTCTCCTTCTAAACCATCATCTAAAAGAACAATGACTCAAAATAGAAGCATATCCCAGCTAGGAGCCTATGTTTGAAATAGTCTATAAAATACTGAAACACATAGATGAGAGAGAGAGAGAGAGAGAGAGAGAGAGAGAGAGAGAGAGAGGTGTTTTTGAAACACATGATTTCACTTCCAGCTCCAACTACACCTTTACTACTATAGACACCCCTGACAAGTATCTTAACCTCCCTGATTTTCAATCCCAGTTTCTGTAGCTTGGGGTTGGTAGTAATACTGGGCAAGGACATAAGGAGCTTAGGTCACTAAAATCCCATGCAAAGGTTAATTATTACTCACTAAAGGGAAAGCCGTTGCTATAAAACAAAAATCTGAGAACTACCTAGACTCTTTCCTTCTACTATTAATAAATCCGTATTGCATGCACAGAGCCTTAGGACTCTCTTGTGATGCATATCCAACCCTTCATGACTGCTGTAAGGGAACATAACCTTTACAGAACGGGAATGCCGCAGCCATCTGGGAGGATGGCGGTAGAGCGGAGTGCTTTATTTAGTAGCACAGGGTCTGCTAAGCATCCTCCCTGCTAAGATTACACGGAACATAAAGGAAATCGCAGACTGCTCATTTCCCTTGTACTCATCCGAAGCTTGTGGAAACTTCCTGTAAAAGGCAGTTACAGCATTAAAAGTAAACTGATTTTACACATACCGGATACCAGCAGACTAACAATTGCAGTCCTTAGGGAGAAAAAGAAAATAGCACACTTGCCTTTCATTCTTTACATTAGTTTGAAAAAAACACGAAAGCTCAGTGAAGAAGAGAGACCCACGCTAGAGGCAAGTAAACTGTTTAGAAATGTATTGATTATGCCACAGAAGGGGGAAAGGAAGAGGGAGGCAGGGGAGAGGGAGACAGAACAAGGGGGGAGGGAGGGAGGGGAGAGGAAGAGAAAAGGAGGGATTGGGAAAGAGGAATGGAAGGGAGAGGGAGGTGGGGGGAGAAAGGGAAGAAAGAGAGAGAGAGAGAGAGAAAGAGAGAGAGAGAGAGAGAGAGAGAGAGAGAGAGAGAGAGAGAGAGAGAGAGAGAGAGAATATCATGATACAAAGCCTATTGCAACATGAAAAATAGTCCTTTAGGACCTGGTTTCAAACGGCCAACTCTGCCGACTGACAACTGCAAAGGAACAGTGCTAAAGTAGGGGAATTTTGGAAAGGGAAGGGAACTTGTCCTTTAACTACCAAGAGACCCTCACGTGTTGGCATGGCTCTCTCCTCTTGGGCTTGCCAAGTGTACAAATATCTGCTGAGCGTCAGGAGCATCAGACAGGGTCTGTGCGAAATGCTGAACCACTATAAATTCGAGTGCAGTAGGAAGTGCGAGGGACTTCTGGGTTTAGCCCAGACTCAGGCTACACAACTGCACTTATATATATGGATTAGACCTTGGCACAACCTTCTGCCTTGAAAGCTCTATTAGTAAAAAGAACACACACACACACACACAAAACTAGCCTCTGTTTTTAGGTCCCATAAAGTTTAACAGGGAAGACAGATGTATATTTATAAAAAAGATAACTAGCAAAAAATAAAGGTCATTAATGCATTAACATGATGTATAAATAGTAAAGGCAAGAAGGAAAGAACCTCAGAAGACGAAATTCACGTTCCTAGGAAAGCGGGTTACTATAAAGTACAGTGCGGGAACACTGATGAGGGCAGAGGACCGGGCGCCATTTACCACCTGGCCACCTCTGCTAGCTGTGCTTCAAGCCAAACTTGAAGGAGCAGGCTCTGCCAATCATGCTGAGGAGGACACTTGAGGCGACTGGTCACATGGCATCTACGAGCAAGCAGAAAGTGATGGGGATTGCTGCTCAGTTTGCTTCCTCCTTTTTATTCAGTGCAGGTCCCCCAGCCTGTGAGATGGTACTACCCACAGTTACAGTGGTGCTTTCTGCCTCAGTTTACCTAACCTAGAAAATCCCTCACAGGCATGTCTCTTAGGTAATACTAGATCCTCTCAAGTTGCCAAGTAGCGTGTTAATCTGCCTGAAACTTCGAACCCACCGGTGACTTAGCGTTTCTGAAATGATCCCATCCTGGCCTTACTTGACAATCATGTTTTTGCTCTTCTCTCTTTGACCCTTGGCACTGCTCATAATTATTCTAGTTTCCTTCCTGTTGTTACGAGAAATAAAAAGCAACTTAGGGAGGAAAGGGTTCCTTCCACTCAAACATCTAGGTTATGGCCACTCTCCTTTAACTGGCTGGGGTTACGTGGGTGTGGCTAACTTTAAGAAGCTGAGAACAAAGTACAGAGAGCTAGCCACCTTTGGGAACCAGCAATTATGGCCATCCTCCTTCCACAGTTTCCCTTCCCTCCCACCAGGGAAAAACAGTCAAGCTACTACAAACCTCCCCTCCCTTCAACAATCTGAACCTAGCCTTTGAATCCTTGGTTAGGCCGGGCGGTGGTGGCACACGCCTTTAACCAAGTGGTGGCACTTGGGAGGCAGAGGCAGGCAGATCTTTGTGAGTTCAAGACCAGCCTGGTCTACAGGAGCTAGTTCCAGGGGACAGGTTCCAAAGCTACAGAGAAACCCTGGCTAGTAGCAACTGAAGGTGTGACCGTGATGTCCTTAGCATGTGGCAGACATGTGAGGCTGTCCCTTTGGTGCTGGCGAGAGCAATGGTTTTAGTTAGGGATGTGTTAGGAGACAGGATGACAAGGTGCTTGTAAAGAAAGGGGAGGAAAGCTGTGAAGGACCTGCCTATTTCTGAAAAAGGAAAGTTATCGGCCCTATTACAAAGCAGCCTCACTACTGCTCGGGCTGGGGATGGAGTCAGAGGGAACATACCTGCTTAGTTCACGTAGATTCTGGGCTTGATCCTCAGCACTTTGGTAAAGAAGTACAAAAAGGAGTGTTCACAGAAGACTGGGGGAAATACCTTTATAGTGGAAGATTTCAATATAAAATATAGTGAAGGAAATATACTTATCTGCATCATCAGTCTCTTAAGTCTTTGATTTTGAAGTAACTTTCAGATACCATATTATTTAAACTGTACTACTGTAATATACATATATGAAAAATAAGAATTTAGTAAACATAGCCATGAAGAGCAATCTTTAAAACAATCTTTATTCTCATCAAATCCTTAGGTAGTATTCAACATTCCCCGATCATCTGTCTTAAAAGACTTGCCAAATCAGGATGCAAATAAAGTCTCATATATTGCCTTTGATTGCCGGCTCTCTCTCTCTCTCTTTTTGCCATAAACCTTTCACTAAGAGAGAAACACCAGTAGGCTATCCTTTGTCCAAGAGTCTTCTTAGGCCTTAGATACATGGTTTAGTAAGATCAGAACTAGAACAAGCCCATCTCTGCTGTTTAGACACCACGGTTCTAGGTAGAGGCCTGGTTTTTCAACTCAGGGGTAGGGGCTGCAGCACCCACAGCCTGGTTTTCTTTTCTTTCTTTCTTTTTTTTTCTTAAGATTTATTTACTTATTGTGTATATAGTATTCTGCCTGCTTGTATGCCTGAAGGCCAGAAGAACATACCAGATCTCATTACAGATGGTTGTGAGCCACCATGTAGTTGCTGGGAATTGAACTCAGGACCTTTAGAAAAGCAGGCATTGCTCTTAACCACTGAGCCATCTCTCCAGCCCCACAGCCGGTTTTCAAAGATGGTCCAATGGGGCAAGTCTGTATACTTGCAGGTAGAACCTCCGGAGAGATGGACTGGGTAATGTAGTTGGTTGGTATCCATCTTAGAGAGTAGTGTTTGAGGAAAAGCCACAGGACAGCAGGCTGTAAATGCAACCAGGCAGATGAGGAGGACGTCCACTAAGCTCCCCCTGAAGGGCTGCTCATTCCTTTGGCAGCCAGGCTTGAAGACCAGGCTCTGAATCAGACTTCCCCAGGAAAGGTTCTGCCAACGCGCCCACTTCGCCCACCAGAACCGACAGCAGTTCCGAGGCTGGTGGAGCTGCTCCCAGCCCTGCTCAGGAGCAAACTTTGCACGGAGGCACCCCATGTCCTTGAGCGTGGGCTGAAGCAGAAAGAGTTACAGCAGAAGTCTTTCTGCCCTACATCACCACACACACATCAGCACCACTGTGGGTCAGGCTGCCTGCCCCTCTCAGCCACACACACACACACACACACACACACACACACACACACACACATAACACAAAATACATAAAACATATAATATCACATATGTAATATTAAAATATATTTTATTATAGGTTGGACCTAGACCAGGGAGACACCCACACACATATAACAACTACTGGTAAGAGGTGGGAACTACAAATATCCTCTTAAAATGGACACAGACGAACCCTAACTAAAAGGAGTTGATGGCTTGACCACCCACTGCGTCTTGTCCAAAGGGCACAGAATAAGCTGTGGTGCGGCACTTCAGGCTGTTGACCACATTTTGAGTCTTTCAGTTAGGCTCTCTCTGTGGAAATGGAGAGCACATGACTTGGTGTGTGCTAAACAAAGCCAGTTTTCTCATCTTCCCCCAGAGCCGGTTCTGAGTATCTCTGTGCTTGCTGCACAGGAGCCTCAGACAGCTGCACCTCCTCAGAAGGAAAAGCAGCCCTGCAAATGGCCACCTTTGCCCTGCATTGTAACTCTGATGGTTATCACTGCTGATGGCCTAAGGAGGGCCAGGCCGCGTGTCTTTTGGGGCACACGGGGAAGAAGATGGATGGTTGTCTGTGAATGACTGGACAATACCGAGAGCCTCACATCTGACTTTACACGCCGGCACTCTGCCGTGGGCTTTACAGCTTAGTTTCACAGAATCACAGTGAGAGCTGGATAAGCAATCAACTTCGACTGTCATCTCAGTTCTTCTTTGCTTGTTTTGTTTTTCAAGGCAGGGTTTCTCTGGGTGTAGCCCTGGATGGCCTTGAACTCACAGAGATCCGCCTGCTTCTGCCTCCTGAGTGCTGGGATTAAAGGTGTGTGCCACAACTTGTTCTAAATTCTTTGCGTGTGTTGCAATCCCAGTAACCCACGTAGAGCTCCGTGAAATAGGTGCTGTTAGCCCCACAGCAACAGGCAGAGTTTAAGTGACTTAAGAACAGTCTTTGAGAGATTAGACTTGACTCAGACTCCCTCCAGCCTCGGTATTGAGGACTTAGCCCAGGGCCTCAGGTATCCCTCACCCCCACCCGGGTACTCTACACCTGCCCTAGATCGTTGGCTTCTTTTAAATTTAAATTTTGAGAGTCTTGCTAAATCAACCAGACTGGCAGACCTTGAACTTGCAATTCTCCGGCTTCATTTCCTCCCCCTCCCCCCTTTGGGGAATTGCCAGCCAGGCCCAGACTGATTTAAACTTAAGTGGGCAAAGCTAGTTAGTGAGAATACTTGGAGGGCAGACTAGTACCAACACTCCCGCGGTCAGGTTCTTCACATCACAATCAGGTTCAAAAATGGTAGGGGTAGAGATCTCAGCGCAGGCTCCACGCACTTCTCTTTCCCATCCGCACCACTGCTCCTTCCTCGCTTGGAAGATGAACAGTTCTGCAGACGTGGCCGGAAGGCAGTTATATAAAGGAGCCTCACTGGTCCAGGGTACGGGCTTTTGGTGCACGGCTGGTTGGGTTAGCGCTCTCATTCCTTCCTCAAACATACCTTAGGCACTCCTATGTGCACAATACTGTTAGCACACCGGTGTGTACTCATCCGGAGAGCAGCAATTCTGAGGCTTCCTGGAAACCCTTGGCAGGAGAGTGTCGGTTTCCTTGGGAGGCACTCTCTCTTTCTTCTTCTCTGGAATTGTTCTGTCCCTCAAGGTGGCTGGAGCCGCAAGTTTCCTTCCCTGGAGGTCAAGTAAACTTGAGAACAAAGTGAGAAGCCTCGAGCAGAACCGCCTGGAGGGACGCGACAGGAACTTGGGAGCGCTTGGGATTCAGTCTCCCAGGCCATCTAGTATTTAGGCTGACTTCGTAGATAGAGAAGAGATAATAGAATTTATAGAGCCAGGAGTTCCTAGCCCTTCTGTCACAAAGATCCCAGGCTCCAGTCCTCAATCCTAGAAGGCTCCTAAGAAAAAAAGACCTTTTGGGATGACTGCCTACATTGTCCTCTGACAATGCAAACATGACAGCTGCCTATCCAACAATCGTTCCGCCTCCGTTCGGCGGAGTTCGTGCCACACAGGCATCTCCTGCGCTATAGTTATGCAACCTCACTCGCAGCGGGAGTTATTTCCTGTGCTGCTGGATGCGCCAGATTCATGTAACCCGCCTACCCTGGGCTTCAATGGAAGCCGTTCTCCATTAACAAGCACTCGGGCTTTCAGAGATGAATGCCTTGCATTGCATGCTGTTTGCGCAGCGAGAATAGCGCCGCGAGGTATTGAAATCAACTCTTTCTACACACACACACACACACACACACACACACACACTCACTCATAGTCTTTCTCTCTCCGTGCAAGCAGCAAGGGGACTGCAGCAATGCAACTAGAGGGACAGCAGGAGGAGCTCGCTTTGCAGTCCCGGCCTGTAACCCCCACTAACTAGAGATGAACTCATGCCAGTTCCATTCTTTGCAAGGAAAACACAACACACACGCGCGCGTGCACGCGCACTGAGCAGAACGGAGTGGCCTTCGGATTTCTTCCCCGAACACCCGGCGAAATGCCGCCTGCTTCCACAGACAACCTGGATATTCCAGGCCGAGTAACGGGGAGTTGCGCGTCGCAACAATGCCAGTCCCGGAGCAGCTCTGCTCGGAGCTCCCATCCCCGCCCCCTTTCGCGGCGTGCCAAGAGTTTGGAGCGCGCGCACGCACACGCGCGCGGTGCAGCGGTATATCCCTCCGCCGCCCTCCTCGCCCCGCTCCCTCTGCCCGACGATTTGGGAAGCGAGGGGAGGAGGGAACTACTTTTTGGAAACTTGTTATGCTGCCCACGATCTCGAGCTGCAGTGATTCGCCTGCGGGCCCTGGCTTTTAGGTCTCTCCCCTCCCGCCCCGCCACCTCGCCGGAGGCCCCGCGCCACCCGCTCGCAGCCGCGCCCCACGTCCGCCTTCCCGCCGGCTCCCGCGCGAGCCCCGCCGCCCCAGAAGTCGCGAGGGACTATTTCGCCTGCCTCTCCCGCGGGCGCCCCCGGTTCGCGCGGCGGAAGGAGCGGGCGGCGTGAGAGCTTCCGCCGCCCCCCTCGCGGCTCCCCTCTCGCGGGCGTGAGGAGCGGGCCCGCGGAGCTGCGCTGGTCTCGGCCCTGCTCGCCGCCGCTCGGCGCTGTGCCCTCGGGCTCGGACGGCCGCTTCGCGCCCTGCCCGCCACCCCCAGCTGGAGCGCGTCTGAGGGGAGCCCCTGAGGGCCGACCGGGCGCGCCGCGCGGGCAGCCGGCGGCCAGGCGGGAGATGGTGCGCGGCACCTCGGCGGGACCGCGCCGCCGCCCGCAGCCAGCGCTCGGCTGCCCCCCGCCGGCCCCCGTCGCCCTCCTGTCGTCGCGCCCCTGAGAGAGCAAGCAGCACCGCCTCAGCCGCCGGCCGCGTTCCTTTCCAGCGCCCGCAGCCGCCCGCGCCGTCTCGGCGTCGCACCCGGCCTCGGCGCAGCGAACCGCTGGGGTCGCCACGGCCGCGCTCGCTGCCGCCGCCCCCCTGCGGGGGTGGCCGGGCTGCCCGGCTCGCGGGGCGCCGCTCCCGGTGAGGCGTCCACCATGGTGAGGCCCCCGAGCCGCTGCCTGCGCGCCCCGCCGGCCGCCGCCGCCGCCTGCCGCCCCTCGGTGCCGCCGCTGCCGCTGCTTCCCCGCCTGCTGTTGCTCCTCCATCTCCTGTGCGGAACACGGTGAGGGAAAGATGAGCGAGGAGACGGCGACTTCTGACAACGAGTAAGCGAGCCCTGGCTTGGGTGAGCCCCGCGGGCAGCCCCCTCCCCCAGCCCGTCCGGCCCGGGAGGTGATAGATGCCCGATGTGTCTGTCGGGCCGGGTTCTTTAGTGGCAGCACCCCCTTTCCAGCTTTGCGTTCGCCTCCCTGCTTGGGGGAAAGGCTCTCGAGTGCCGAGCAGAGGCGTTGTAGCCATCGGACGTCCCCGAGACCGAGTCATGTGGGTGGCTCAAAGTGGAGTAGAAACTACCCTTTGCCAGCCCTGCGCTCCGGCACCCCCCCCCCCAATACCTTGACCATCCAGCCATCCTCCCTTCTCAGCTCTTTCAACTAATGTGTGGGCGCACCTCCTGCCGCAAACTGCTCTTGAATCCTAATTCGATGACTCAATGACTCTTAAATGCCGATTAAGCCTTCGCCCCCTGCCCCACTTTTTAAACTTCTGACCTATACTATTCTAGTTTTTTTTTTTTTTTAAAATGGTTAAGGAAACATTTTAAGAATTAAAGAGGATTAAGGACACCTGGAGTGTGGGCGACGTTGAGCTTTTTTTTTTTTTTTTTTAACCTTTGCGAATATTGAACCCGTCTTCATCAAGAACAATTGAGAATTTTGAGTGCTAGTGTCTGGCTTTCGTCTGCGATAAAGCCCCGTTTACATTGCCGAACGCGTTGGTGACTTCATCTCGAGCATTCCATGACTTTACGTTTTTTGCTTATTTGGACTGTCCTTATGTTTTCGAAACGAAGCGCTGTGCCTGTTAAATATTTTCCTTTAACCTAGCAGCCACTTGGAGGAATAATGGTGCGGCAAGATTTTCCTGTTGAGCAGAGAGTTAATTTCGGGCAGAATATTGGCGTCTGTTTTTCTTGTAATTGAGTTCAAGTTTTGTTTGTTTCTGGAGGGTTATGAAGAGTTAAATGAGGACGCATTCCTTTAAATAAAGTACATTCCTCAAGTCAGACCTCCGCGAGAAGGCTTTAGAGGCCAGTGCCGAAGCACGCTTAACGTAAACTAGCTAGAAAAATGCCAAGCTGCGTTCTCCCCCCCCCCCCTCTTCGAAAAGCACAGACTGAGGAGCGGGTGTGGAAGGCGGTGGATTGCTGCAGTCAGTGCAGTCTAGAAGCAGAAGTGGCCGCCATGTTCTCTCTTTTTGTGAATCGCCCTCATTTGCATAGCACACTTCATTCATAAAAAAAAATAATTAAACATCCATCACCTTGGACAACTTGAAAGGGTTTCCTAAGAAAAACATTCGAAGCATGTTTCTCTTTATGTAGATTTTTGAGTTCAGGAAGTGAGGAGATTAGAAGTTTTAGATTAAATTTTAGAACAGACGCACACACAAACAACTACCCCAGTTCTCAGAATGTTGACACAGTTATGTGGGAAATATCAGTTCGGGGAGGTGCTGGGATCACGTGATCGCCTCCATTCATAAAATACCTGGCTGTCCATTCACAGTGCAGTACACTGTCACTGCCTTCCGCAGACTAGACCTATTTTGAGCGAGATCAAGACGCCGGTCTGAGATAGTACTGGGTTAGGAGAAAAACTGCGGAAATGCTGAAGGGAATGACGGGAACTTTTATTAGTATCTTGGAAGAAAGCAGCTGTGATAAAATCTTCAGATCTATTTTAGAGATGGGGAAAGATGTCTTACCAGTTTAGTAGTTTAGGGAGTAGTATTATTGCCTTGCTGCGGCTGAGGAAGAAATGATGGGATGTTGACTAGTGCAGGCATATAATTGATTGTTTCAAAACGGGCGTTTATTGGGTACTATAGTAAGTTGAAAGTGCAGGTGTGTGAGAGAGATCTCAGTGGATGGAACCTTTGTTGCACTAAAATGAAAAATATTTCTGATGGTTTTAATCCCCAAGATATTGATGTTTTGGAATAACAATTTGGAAATTATTCATCCAGATTTTTAAATTTGTTTTCAGAAATACATCCTGCCTTATTAATATATTGCTCCCCAGGAACCTTGTAATATTAGTTTGGGTAGGAAAAGAGTAATCTATTTTAGCATGTATAATCCACTAAAAGGTTCTTCATAGGGCAAAAAAAAATTTTTTTTATGTTAGAAAATGGTAATCATTGCTTCTAGACCTGACATTGTTTACTTGTGCCTTAGCTCAACCACAAAGTGGTTTTCTTGGAATGTTGATTTTAATCAGGTCATTTGTATATCTCATCTTTAATGTAGGAGGTGAAGTTTTGAAATGGAAATTCATTAATTGTAATCATACATTATGACGAAGCGAGAGATAGAACAATGTCCACAAGGACTTAGGTGTATAGTTTATGGGCCTGTATTATTTTTTCCTTTTTTCTTTAAACCATAGGTCATAGGGATTTAATTACAGTAGAATTTAACACTTTATTTTTCTTTGTTTTTAACCTTTTAAAGAAGGTGACAATTACCAATTCCTTGAAGTGTTAACCTTTTAAAATTGGTAGCCTTTGTGTTGAAATATAATAATGCCTTTTAGAATGCTCTTCTGAAAAGCATTATTTGAATTTAGACTTTTTTTAAACAGAGAGAGATAGCTAACTGAAGTGGTTTCATATCTAATCAGGAGTTAGTGGGAGATTTGCTAAGTAAAAGGCTTCATGTTAACAGTGACAGGTCAGATGAGGAAATGAATGGGATGGGTGGGAGACTGTTTCACATTCCTGTTTAAAAAATAAGGTGGCTCAACTGCTAAAGTCACTTTGCACCATTAGCCTAGTGATCTGAGTTCTGGCACTTATATGGTGGAGCCTGCTCCCAGAAGTTGTCCTCTGACCTATATGTCACCTGTGTGCCCAATGCAGTCACACTAATAAATGTAATAAAAGAATTTTTTAATCTGAATTTTCAAAAGGCAGTAAATGTACTCTAGGGTAAACTGCTTTAAGCCTCGAGTAAAGGAGCTGCCACACATGATTTTATTTTCAAAGAATATTTCATTTTACAGAAATTGATACCCAGATATATGTTTTTCATTTGCAAAAACCGATAGTCCAGTAGATAAAGATGTACCATATTGTATATAATGAATTAGCCTTTTAAATAGAATTTTGAACACTTAAGGACGTGTGATGTAATAGCTAAGGGCCTTTGTAACTTGTGTTGAGTGACTACCGTACTACATGCCCTTTGCCAGTTGGGCCAAAGTACTTGGAGGGAGGAGTGAAGTAGCTGAAAAACCAAGAATTTTGTTTATTGTGCTTAAATAAGCCAGAACCACCTGCCATGTCAGTATACTAGGCTTTTTAATACCAAGTTGGGATTATAGTAATTTTAGAGGAGGTTAATTAGAATTGAGGTAAGTCTGGGTTAGAACCATTTCTCCTGCCAATGTACCTCACAGTAGGAGCATGTGTGTGTATATCTATGCATACATTATATACATATATTTAGAAAGTATTCTAGAACCGAATGGAAAGAAACATGGGGAAGCTGTGTGTCAGTTATTCAAGGAATGTATGTTTATGTAGATATTATGGACACATAATGTAAAATTTGCTTGGAGTTCAATGGAGCTCAATACTAGCTTACATGTTTCAACTTTATTCCTCCTATTTGATGCAAAGCTTTCTGGTCTTGGGTTGTCTGTTTTAACCTATATGCTATCATGCTCAAAATAATTTTTCAAAAAAGAAACTCGTGGAAACAATTTCACTCCAGGAGACTCAATTGTGCCATTCTCTCCAACATTCTGTCCTCCTGTGTTGTGTACTAGATCCATACTTAAGTTAGATTTTTTTTTTTTTTTTCGAGACAGGGTTTCTCTGTGGCTTTGGAGCCTGTCCTGGAACTAGCTCTTGTAGACCAGGCTGGCCTCGAACTCACAGAGATCCACCTGCCTCTGCCTCCCGAGTGCTGGGATTAAAGGCGTGCGCTACCACCGCCCGGCTTAAGTTAGATTTTTAAGTCGTAATCATTTACTCATTTCCATGTCTGTTATCGCCCCTTACTTCATAATGCTCAGTACACACTTGGAGTGTGTGTATTTGTGTGTGTGTGATTTTATGCATTTGGGGTCATTTAATTAGAAAATAGACTGAGTGATTATGGGAAAATTATTATTATCTTTTAAAGAAGATTTACCCTTTTATTTCCCAAGGCCAAAATTGACTTCCTTTTTGACATGTTAGATTTCCTCAAGTTCTAGAAATAATAGTTAGGACCTAAAACTATCCTAGATACTTCTGGAGTAATCATTGTGTTGGCCTCTGAGCTATTCACTCTATCAATAGAAAGGTAGTCATTTATCTTATCAGTTTCAAAGATTTGAAAGTTTCTTTCTTTTGAGGCTTCTACATGGTGCCAAATGAGAAACTGGTTAGGAATAAAGAAGTTCATTGATGGGAAAGGGTAGAAATTATAGGCATCCTCATTATATGCTGCTGCTGGTGACTGAGAAGAATCCAAGGAGAAAGACTGACAGACAACCTTGCTCTGATTAGGGTGACTTGAACTTGCCTAATAGGTCTCACTAATTGTTGGGAACGTTCATACAGAGAGGTCTGCATTTTTTTTCCAACCTTCTAGAAGAGTTACATTTGGATTAAAACTGACAATTTGCAAAATAGTTTACCCACCCGTGCAAAAACAAAAACCAGTTCAGAGATGAGTAATTTATTTGCTGTGCTACCATGAAATAACAAGGACTATAATATTTCATTATGTAACTGCGTGCATACTCCTTTACCTGTGAGTTTGATGATATTCACATATTGGATTTTTCACGTCCTGCCAAGCACTGTGAAAAATTCATTGTTTAAGAATTATGTAACATGTTTATATACACACTCACAGACACATTCTGACTGAAGTGGAGTTTCATAGTGGAGACTTATGACAGGTTAATATATGTAAGTAGTTTGCTATGTTTTAATTGTCTTTCTAGAAGGTCACATTTAGTGGCTACTGTATGTCCAATGTATGATATATTTTGATGTTTACAAATATAGTATTGTTGGAATGTGTTTGTTTTGGATTTCCTTTTTTGAACAATATTAAGTTTGACCTTGAATTTTTTTCTTCATCAGTATCTGCTGTTTTTTCCTTGAGATAGTCAAACTTCTTATTAAATTCCCATACACAAAAGAAAAAATATGAGACTACTTAGGCTTTGAAATGTCTGTCCATTTGTCTTTGAGAATTATGTCAGTTTTAAAGCAGAGAGTGAAATTTTGTTCAGACTGTCTTAACGTGCTGGGTGGTAAAGTAGAAATGGTTTGTTTAGAAAAAAACAAAAAAATATGGTTTAGGGTATCTAGAATTTTTTTAAAATACTGCATTATAAATAGACTTAAAGTGATTATTCAAAAGTTATTTGCATATCTGTTTAACTTTAACTGTTTTATGCACTGTAGTATTACACAAAGAACATTAAACTTGAAATTGGGAGACATTTTTCTTGTGACTAGTTCTCTGGTCAAGGGTGAGTGATAGCCTCTCTGGGTCACAGTTGGTAACAGTTTGTGATTGAAGGAGTTTGAACTAAGCATTATGGGCCCTTTTTATGCTCATAGTGTATGATTTGTTCTAATGATATCATTTTGTAGACACACTACTTCACTTGATTTTGCTAATTTTATTATATTATTTTTGACATGTTTAAGTAATTGCTGCCTGAGCATGGTAAAGTAAAAATGAATTTTGAATAAAAAGATAAAAATAATTTTTGAACAACTGATCTGTGCATCAGAAAATTTTAAGCTGGGTTTACTAACCATTTTGTTGTCATTGGGAGATGAGGTCCCACTATATATTTCAGCTTCTTAGATTCAACGAATTTAAATAATCTACATTTAGCTAGTTGGGGATTACAAGGAGGTTAAGCATCCTACCCCGTTAACAGATTAGTTGGAAAGGTGAACAAAAAGCTACTGGGCTTCAGTGCCAACTTGAAGAGTTCTATAAAGAACACATTAACATTATGCTAGTCTCTAAGCTTTGCTTAATGACCAAGAACACACCAGAAAGTCATTCTCACTTGGTTGTTTATCAAAACACATTTATTTAGTTTCAGAAGTTAACACGGGTAAAATGTTGTATTATTCTCTGGCATTTGGATATTCTATGACCAGATTGGTGTATGTAACTATACTCTTAACAGTCTCGAACTAGTCTTTAGGTCTATGAAATTTGTGTCTATGATAATTGGAATGAAAAAAAATTTTTTTTTAAAGAGAGAGGCTATGTCTCATATAGCCCTGGTTGGCCTCCAATTCACAGAGATCTGCCTGCCTTTGCCTCTAACAAGCAA